CGTACACAAATATACATAGATGGCCAGTGTTTTCAGTAATCTGTTCTGATTTTCATTTACTTTTTGTGTGTGAAATGGTTTCCTTTTAATTTATGTTGCGTTCACTTAGGAGTCAGGTGGCATAGTGATCAGTGCATATGCCTGTTAAGACAGCAATCCCAGCCCAACCTCAAAAAGAGGCAGTCATTCGAGTTCTGAGGTCAACCAAGGCCTGTAACAGTTGGCACCGATAATTGGACTAATTTTCTAGGGAGGGTTTTGGAAGAAAAACTGATGAGGAAGGGAACCAGCCACCCCCATATTACAGGTTATGACCTAGAGCAGAGCTTTCCAAACTGTGTATTAGTATGTTGGCTGCAGCGTAAAGGTGTGTCATGCAAGCGTAAAGAGTTAAACAGAATAGGCAATGCCATTTATTTGGTTTTTTGAGACTTGTTTTATTATTCTTGCTTGCTAATTATATCAGGGACTCTAATCTTTAAAATATTATAGTTTTAACATAAATCAATAGTTTTCATGTGATAGTTTGTGTCGTGAAACATTTAATTATTACAATTTATTTATGCGTCTGCATCTCATATTAGGGGTTATTTTATACTTTCGTTTGTTAGTAGACTGAGTTACTGTTTCGCATAAATTATTTTGTGTCTAAACAGGGTATGACTGACATGAAATGTTTTGAAAGCTCTGACTTAGAGTATATGAGGGCATAATTTATCACATTCTAACCAGTATTTCATTTGTCTTTTGTTTACACACAGATGCCCAATTAATATGTCTGTGTGTGTGTAAATATATATATATATATATTAGTTGTGTATCTTTACGGAAGTGGTTTTCAGCCTGGGGGTCATGCCACCCTGGGGGTTGGGGATAAAAAAGTTTCAAAGGGGCGTCAAGCAATTTAAAAATTGAGTTATATGTACTTGTAATTATCTGCTCTACTAACATTTGTTTTCCAGTTTGATTCTAAATAAAGTAGTCAATTCTTCATTCATTCATTCATTTATGCAATATATTTAGGTAAATACATAATATAATGTGAGTTCTCACAGAAAATATTGACTGTTGTTGTCCCAGCTTCTAGTGGCCATCTTGATTCAAGTGGAATGTTATTTTGGGTTCGTCACTTCTGGGGTTCTGTTTGTGACATTCCTACTGCTAGTAGTCGCAGGTGTTGTGCCATTCTACTCCAAGATTATTGAACAGGTTAGTGAGAATTATTTAGTTCTAATGCTGAAGACTGGGTCGGGATACCCTTAGAAATAATAGCTCAGATTTATGTCCCCTTTTTCTGTGTATTACCTAGGATGCAAGTAAGCAAAGAAGAACTGAATAGTGATCTATCATGCATGTCAAAAGTGGCACTAAGGAATGTTAGTGTGAGACTGGCAACTTCATCTAGCTGAAAATATTAACTGCAAAAAACCCAAGCAACTATGAGTTGCACAAAGGGCTTGTCCTGAGTTGGTTTGAGGCTTAGCTCTATTTGGAATGATAAAACTTTATTTTCAAAAGTTTGAGAACTGGGCACACAGGCCTGTCTTGCTTACTTCCTGCCATTTTGGTCTCACTCCTTGCAAACTTGATTCCTTCATACATCCTAATACACATCATCAGCACTTAATTCTTAGTCACATTTGCTGGGATATACTCTAATTACACCTACATTTATACACAGTAATTATACTAAGTATAGTATGACTGATAAATCTGGGGTGGGGGTTGGGAGGGGGGGGGGGCACAATATATTTAAAGCTAATATCTTTTATGGTGGCATATAGTCTGTGTTGAGATAATATTGAAAAATTGTCCATTTGTTTGTATAGGAGAAGTTGCCGTGGCAGAGTGGCTAGACACGTGCCAGGGATCAGAAGGTCGTGGGTTTGCCCCCTGGAGGAGCCAGACTTTTTTTCAAAAATGACCTTGGCTCCCAGGTCAACCCAGCCTTGAGTGGGTACCGGGTGATGCTGACCACATCATACATCTCGTGCTAATTGGTCTATAAAATATAGGTTTAGCCCTATATGCCCTATACACCTAAAGTAATGGAAAAGGGTCCTTTATTTTTTTTTTTTTACTTACTATGTATAGGGGATAATGATATTTTTTTGTTGGTTTTGGAAATTGGTTCTACAGATAGGCGGAGGAGTTGAATGTTAAATTAGGAATCGACATCACAGCACCCGGGACACCCCCACAAGCACTCCATCCCCATCTTCAACAGCAAGTGAAGAGTTGAAATTCTGATAATACCAGTGACTGTCTGGTTGGGTATCCGTCTCACCTTTCTCCCGAGTGTCGAGCACTGAGCTGAGGAGTACGCCAAATCTATCTTAGGTTTTGGGATATCTTGTATGGAGATACGTGGCAATAGAAAAGAAACACGAACTTGTTCCCTCAATGCCATGAATCAGTCAAGTGCCATCTCCACAATATATGGTTACCTGGAATGGATCTCCTAAAATTTTTTCATCTCTTGCTTAGGCTGTCCAGTGACAGGCTGCTGGTCTTCCATCTCCTAATGTTGCCTTCTCATTTGGATTTGAGTAATCCTTTTTAGTGCTTTAAAATACAAATATTTGTTTTTATCATTTTCATGTTGTTGATTGTATTTTAGCCATCTGTTTGCCCTTCGACCCCCCCCCCCCCCCCCCCTTTTCCCTGCCTCCTCCCAGTGATTTTCATCTCATCTCAGAAACTGAAATATTTTGGTCATATCAAGTGCCATGATGGATTGGAAAGCTCAGTAGTGGAAGACACTGTACAGGGCTGACCAGCACTAAGATGGACACAGGGTATAAAAGACACCTTAGGTAAAAGATTGCACGAGCTCACAGTGTCACGCCAGGCACTAAACTCAGTAGCTTGTGACAAAACTGTATCCTATTTGTCTGCAAATGGAGAAAAATGCAACGGCCACCATCTGTCCAAAGCAACAAAATGTGCAACGACTCAAAACAGTGACCGTGCCTATCCTCCATTGACCCAAGCAAATAGGTACTTTTCATCCACTGAAGAGAAGGGTGGTTTTGGTTGGCCTAATACCTGACCAAGGCAAATGGGTACTCTTCCATTCCAGTCCAAGCTACTTGTTGCAGGGTAAATATTTCCTTTTTGATTTTTTTTTCATCTAGGAAAATAAAACTGACACCTTCAGCTTCATCCTGTTTTATGTCTATTTTGGCATTCTTTTGTTGGAGTTTCTTCTGCTGTTTAAAGCAGACAGACTCAGACGAAATGGCTACAGACAGCTTGGAAAGAAAGTAAGTCTGCTGCATGTTGTAGTGATTACTTCATTTTAGTTAGAAACTTGTCAACTAAGAAAAATGCCACTTATTTTCCATTGAAGAATACCTTCAGTGAACTTTGACAGCCCTCTCTTAGCTTTTACTGTCTTATGCTTCCATTAATTTTGGCAGTTCTTTTCTCTTTGGAGTCTACATTTTCTTTTGTCTTGTTTCCAAAAAGACAGATTCATACGATTTATAGGCTTTAGACAGCTTGGAAATAAAAATAAGTCTTCTTTGTCAATAGTGATTACTTCATTTTAGTTAGAAACTTGTCAACTAATGAAGCATATCTATAATTTTTTATGCCACTTATTTTCCATTGAAGAATAGGCCTTCAGTGAACTTTGACAGCCTCTCTTAGCTTTTACTGTCTTATGCTTCCATTAATCTTTATCAGTTCTTTCCTCTTTGGAGTCTACATTATTTTATTTGTCTTGTCTTTCCAGTGAAAGCATTCATACTATTTACAGATTTCTTTAGTTTGTTAAATAAAAATACCATTTCTTTGTCAAAGTGAATTCCTGAATCATGTTTCAGGTAAATGAAATTTTTAGTCCATCTCTGAGATTAATGAAATTCTCAGTCCTTTCAGAGATAAATCCACTTGTTCAACCATCTCTCAGAAGATACAAACCCTTAATATCGGCAACTACAGTCAAATCTGCTTCTGCATTTTTATGTAAACAAAGAAAACTTTGAACACAAAATTCTTCTGAGAAGATTTAATGACTAGCTTTTGTAATGATGCTGTTCAGAGGTTAGTGAACATGTTAAACAGCCCTTAATGCACTAGTGTTTGATTTCCAGTGTGGGCAGTTCAGAAAATGACAACTTTCACATTGGTGTGAAAATAAAAGTGATTATACTTAAGTATATTTTTCTTCTTCTTCTTTACATCCTCTCTTACTGCTTTGGGTGTCGAGGTAGGTATAAGGTTCTGCTTTCAGCTCTTCTGGCTGCTTTGATCATGGACACATTGTAGAGTTTTTCTGATGCTATCTTCCTATATGGTTCTTGGTCTACCTCTTGCTCTATGTCCGTCTCCTCTTTTAGAATCTACTTCAGTATTTTTAACGTTGCAATTTGTACTCCTACAATCTGTTGCAATTAGTACATAATAGCTATGCAATATTAAATAACCAAAAATAATTGAAAAGCATAAATATGCATTACAAAAACAAAAAAAGTCTGTATATCCCGATTTTAACCATGTTTTAAACAGGTTTGTTTCGGGAGATGTGAACCAGCATCATTGCACACGGTTATAAACTATAAGTGCTCTGCCACCAGTTCAGACAGCTGATAAGAAACTGTCCGCCTGTGTCGCTGTCAGCATGCAACTCTGTAGCTACAGCGACGTTCCTCCATTTGCCCCAGAGTGTTAACTCTGGTACCCATTTCCTAGAGGCTGGGTGAACCTTGGGAACGGCCCAGTTTTGAACAATGGCCGTGCTCTGCAGCGAGTCGCAGATGGATTTGAAAGTGAGTCTTCTATCGACTGCGCTAACGCTGCCCCCTTTTTAACAGATTGTTGTTGATCAAATTTACCGCTACTGCTTTTGAAAGAATTACCTCCATTTTGGAGACTGCAAAGACATTTAAAAAAATTATTATGATGCACTTCTATTACACTGCTTATGGTCTCTTCTGTCTTTGCCTTCAAATTTATCAGATTTCCTTTACTGTCTTCCTTTTCTTAACAGCCAGAGTGTCCGGAGGTCAGTGCCTCTTTTCCAAGTCAGATCATTTTTGCCTGGATCTGCAGGTAATAATTGCTTGCTAAATTACGGTAATATGTTCACATTGTTGTTGCTGAGAGAGCTCTTGGGATAATAATTAGTTTATCCTATTTTTTAAATGTGTGTAGCACAAATGCATGTAGTGAGGCATGGCTTTTTTGGGCTTGAAGATATGGTGTTCAGTGATTGTATTTGGTGGGGGAGGGGCTTGGATATGTGGTGTACAGTGATTGTATTTGGTGGGGGAGTGGCTTGGATATGTGGTGTTCAGTGATTGTATTTGGTGGGGGAGGGGCTTGGATATGTGGTGTTCAGTGATTGTATTTGGTGGGGGAGGGGCTTGGATATGTGGTGTTCAGTGATTGTATTTGGTGGGGGAGGGGCTTGGATATGTGGTGTTCAGTGATTGTATTTGGTGGGGGAGTGGCTTGAAATTGTTTTTGTGTGAAGCTGTTAGTCAGATTTCCTCTTTGGGGACAGGGGATCAAACTAAAGGGTCAGTGGCTACCCGAACAGTGTGGTCACTGCCAAGAAGAAAAGCAGTGGGAAACTATCTTCTTCCAGATGCCAAGAATAGTCATGATTTCACAGCACAACTTTGTGTGAACTTGCACCATAACTGTATCTGTGAGCTGAGAAAGGAAAGAGATCACTACCTGGAAGGCTTGGCCGTATGGATGGGGGCAAGACAAGAGTACTGGCCTGATCCGTGATTCTGGGGATCATATCAAGATCCTCTGCTATCTCCTGACTCCACAAGACAGTCTAGAAGGTCCTTCAGAAGCTGGAGGTGGATTCTGTTGAGGCTCAGAACCTGACACTGTGTCTGCCTGATGGAACTCCACAGGGGGAGCATCAACATTAAATCCATCTAACAGTGTATTCAGTCATAGTGGGAGTTGCATAGTACTGCTGTTTTTCAGCCACCTTCTGACCTAGTATTTTCAGCCATCTTCTGACCTAGTATTTTCAGCCACCTTCTGACCTAGTATTTTCAGCCACCTTCTGACCTAGTATTTTCAGCCACCTTCTGACCTAGTATTTTGTATTTATCTAATTTGTTTGTTGCTTATCTAGTTGATGATGATAACAATCTAAGGGCATCTTTGGTAAACATTTTTTTTTTCTTTTGTACTGAATAGATGAAATCAATTGAGTATTACATGTCGTAAAATATATGTTAGTTAGTTAGTTAGTTTGTTACTTAGTTAATTAGTTAGTTGGGAAATGATCATTGCACTCTGGACATGTCCATAGCTGCTCAGATCTTACCTTCAACATGAACCCCAATGTTCTGTGACTAATAGTGCCACTTCTTTGTTGACTACACATACTGTATGGTTATGTAAATAATGTGACTATATATTCTATCAGCTTACTGCGCACTGGCTACAGAAAGCCCCTTGTTGAAGATGATGTCTTTGAACTGAATCCACGGGACCAGTCCAGGACTGTTGTACCTCCTTTTGAAAAAGAGTGGGAAAAGGAGAGAAAGATGTCTCAAGCAACCAATAAATCTAACAGGTTTGTGAATGAAATATCATTGACAATACAGTGATTGCTAAATGTTAATGGGGTTTTAGGGGGGGAAAGAACAGAATTGTGACTAACACTGCGCTGTACTAAACATGTAGTCTTTTTCTTTTTAGCATTCACTAGCTGTAAACTCTGGTGGGAAGTACTGGATGTTTGTCCACTCTTCGACTTTGGTCTTGATCCAAAATGTATATTTACATGCACATTCGTTTAACAGGTCTGGCTCATTTGTATGCAGACACTTGATTCCTTGCTTCTCAGGTAGATGTACTCTGACTAATGGAAACGCCCCTAATTAAACGCCTCATAGGACATGCTTGTGGGGGGGGTGGGGGGAGCAGTGGGTCTGTTCTTTGTTCTCCGAAACGGAAGCCCAGAGCCCAGATGGGTAGCTAGACATGAAGTAAGCAGTGATTATGGAAAAGATTAGGCTTAGGGTTTTTTATGATGATAAAGTTTCAAGAGTCAACCAACTATGATTCTCAAAAGCTTGGCATGATTGTTCAAAAATATAAGCTACACTTGGGGATAAAGGGAAAAATAAGAAGAAAATTACAAGAATTGGGTACTACAGTAGCACAATACCTGGCATGTGAAGCTCAAGTTCTACAGACATTAAAATTCAGGCTGGAAATAACATTGCAGAATACAGTAATTTTAACTGAGTGAAAATAATAAGGAAATGTCGAGTAAACGACTGTAACATTTACCAGACTTTTATCTAATGACAAGGATCTTCACCGGTACAACAGAGTTTGTGTAATGCGCTGAGATTCTGAGTTAGAAGAAGAAAGGAGCACTTATGAGTTACACCCGTGTGCCATGATGTTGATCCATTGAATAAACTAATAAGCTAAAATCTAATGATGGAGGTTACTCGAGTACTTACTTTAGTAATGGCTGTGAGAAATGGAAGAGTCTTTTATTCTTGATGTGTACAGCTGCTGACAAATGACACATCATTTTTAATGTCATAAGACCCCCCTCAAGACTAAAACTTAAAAGGTTTGACACCAAGTGACTCAAGAAGCTACCTTTTAGGTGCCTGTCTAACATGAACGAATCCTAAATATCCTGCTCAGTCACCTCAGTCACGCACACACAAAAACTGACCAGACTGACAGAAAGAGAGCAAGAGAAAAACAAAGAGATAAATGCCTGGATACGTGGCCCCCATGGATGTGGCGAGACAAGAACACTTACCTGATCTGTGATTCTGGCAATCATGTGAGGTGATAAAATATGAAAGCCTGTGCTTGCTGGCATGGCCCATGATGATTACGAGTAGATCCTTTGCAGAACATGCTTCTCATCAGAGCATGCTAGAAGGCCACTCAGTCATCTGCATATGATATCTCCTTGAGAAATTGTATGCTCAGGGTGTCCTTAATATCCTGTGTCCACCATGATGCTGATTGACACCTGCCTCTTCTCCAAGTAACCCTACTTTCCATTACTATTCTCCCCAAACGATTTTATTTTGGAGTTTGATGCGGCTGAAGTCATTGTGTTAGGAAACTTTAAAATTTAGATCCATACATAGATGGTTGTCATGAATTTGTCCTATTTGACTCATGTTTCAGAATGCAGTCATTCACCAGCTCTGGTTACCATAAGGTGAACAAACTGTCCAGTGAGAGCTCTCCACTATTGGAGAAAGATAGTGTTGAATTTTCCAGAACAAAGGATGACAAAATAAAGTTATCTCAGCCATCTTTGATCAAAGTTATTTTTAAAGTGTTTGGCGGGGCCATTCTAATTTCTCAGGTACTGCAATATCGTATTTTTCTGTGTATAGGACTGTTTATTTTTCCCCAATTTTGTAACGTTAAACATTTTGGATTGTCATGTATTACGCGATGTGCTTAAAACATTTATTTCTTAATTTTGAGCAGGGAAATATGGTAATTCTCAAGTATATATTTTGTACCATGTTATAGATGGTAGGCATCTCTAGTAGTGCAAAGCTAGGCACTTGCCCCTGGCCTAAAAGTCTTTGGTTCAGATCCTCATCAAAGTGTACTCTTATAATTGACCCAAGTTCCCTTGCCAACACAAATGAAAATGGGTCTCTGGGAAGTAAAAGTTGGCCAGCATGATATTGACCACAACACATTCCTATTAAGTTCCAAGTGGTCTGTGAAAATATCAGTCTACCGTATGATATGCCCATATGCCAGTGGCACAGATCTATTTTATTTTTTAAACTTTACTTTTCAGATGCTACTGAATGTTTTCTCCCAAAAATAGGTTTTTTTAAAAAATGTGTCTACTTTTTTCTGTGTTTTTAATACTGTTTCTTCTTGTTTTTCTTCAGCTGTTGGAGAATCTTGGTCCAATCTATGTCACATGACTCCTTTTTCTGCCTTTTATCTTCTCATGAAACATCAGCTATAAATTGAAATTAATGTAAACTTTGGACTATTAACTTTTCATATTAACCCTTAAAACTCCTGAAATAAATCCTTAAATTGTCTGCACTTTTAATTGAGACTATCACTCGAAGAGGATTAATAGTTCTGCTTCACGTCTGGGAAAATCTGATGTCCTTTAAATGGTAAATAGGAAGAATAATGGACTTTGACATTCCTAATGTAATTAATATATGTATATAAATATATATAATGTATGAATATATTTACATATCCTATGAATATTCTTTGAAAACATTAAAGATTATCTGCTTATGGTTGTACATGTTTTTTTCCATTGTTTTTTTCTAGATACTAAAACTAGTCGCTGACCTGCTGACTTTTGTGACCCCTATGCTAATTGAGTAAGTACATAAGCCATTATAAAGCTATAATGGTTGTGGTATTTTTTTCCGCATAAATTATCATTTATTTGTATTTCTATGGCAGAAATAAGATTTTATAGTCGTCACTTATTTCTACAGTGTTTACAGTATAGGCTAATTATTTCATATTAAGATATCGTTTATCACTGTTATTGTTTGTTACAGTGTGATTGTTTCTTGTAAATTTTTCATTCTGTGTGAATGTCGGAGCATATTTGTCAGATTTAAGCAATTTCTTCAAGTCCTTTCGGTTGTTGAATTGAGCTTCAGATAGCCGAAAATGTTTTGTTTCCATATTTCTCTTGTATCTTTAAGGCTTTTTTAAAACTTACCATATTATGGACAGACCAGAGCAAGTCATTATCCTTCGCCTTAGAACAGGGCACAATTGACTTCGCTGCCACACAGACACAAAATAAAATATTGGCGAATCAGCCATGTGTACCTGTGGACTGGTACCTGAGATGACAACAGATTACATCCTTTAAGACTGTCGCAGATTCAATGCTTCCAGGCAAAGCTTCTGGCCAAAAGAGACACTTGTGTAAGTCAAACTTTACGGGCCGCTTAGTGAACTACAAAGTTTATACTAGAGACAGCATTGCAGATATAGATAATTTATTTCAAGTGAATGAAAGAAGAAGCTTTTTCAACTTTTTTAAATTGATTATTCATTATCCAGGTTTTTGCACCATTGAACTTGTTCATAGCATTTGAACATTTCCGTTTCTGTTTTTCCTCTCTCTGTATGTTACATTCATCATCATGTGGCAGATCCTTTGCAGAACGTCGCTCTCATCAGGGTCTGCCTGAAAGAAACCTGGTCTCTCGCCAGCTCTCCCACCTCATGCACTTTCATTCTCAAGGAGTCACTTATATTCTGTGCCCATCTTCGTGTTGTTCGGCCCCTGCCCCTTCTTCCTGGTACCATGCCTTCGGCTATAATCTTTTCCAATCCGTCATGGCGCTTGATATGACCAAAATATTTCAGCTTCCGAGACAGGATTCTGTTTATTAGCCAATCTTCCTTGATGTTCAGATCTTTCAAGATGTCAGTATTTCTCCTCTTTTTCATGCAAGATGTATGTTACATTGGTAGACAATAAATTCAAATAGATGATTGTTGTACTCAGACATTTAATAGGCTGCATGGTTTCATATTTCAGCAATCTCATCTCCTTCACTCAGAACCGGAAAACACAGCGAGAATGGAATGGTTATGTTTTGGCTTGTTCCTTCTTTGTAGTGGCCATGTTGAAAACCTGCCTGTACCAGTACCATTTCCATGTCAGTATGACACTTGGTATGCGTATCAAGAATGCTGTAATAGCAGCTGTATACAAGAAGGTTAGTTAGTTAGCTAGTTAGTTAGTTAGTTAGTTAGTTAGTTAGTTAGTTAGTTAGTTAGTTAGTTAGTTAGTTAGTTAGTTAGTTAGGTTAGTTAGTTAGTTGGGTTATCCTCATTGCACTCCGGGCATGTCCATAGGTGCTCAGATCCTCCCCTCAGTATGAACCCCAACGTCCGATGGCTAATAGTACCAGTTCTATGTTGATTAACAAGTCTTCTGGCGTGTCTGGTGTGCGTCTCGTTGTTTGCTGTGCCGATCTTAATTCCCAAGTCTGCCATTCTGGCGAGTGATATGGATTCACTGCCACCAAAGTCCTCTATCCTTCCCATTTCTCGGAGGGCATTGATAATATCAGCATGATCCATAGGCTGACCGTCGGTAGTGATAGCGGATCCAGCCAACCTGTCAGCTCTTTCATTTCCATCGACGCCTGCGTGTCCCGGAACAAAAATAAAGGTGACTCCATGCACAGTGGACTTCTGTAATGATTCAAGCCATTGTCTTCGCACTGAACCTGCTTGAACCCTATACAAGGAACAGTCTACTGGGCTGTACAAAGAACAGTCTTGCAGGACTGTACAAGGAACAGTCTTGCAGGACTGTACAAGGAACAGTCTACTGGACTGTACAAGGAACAGTCTACTGGACTGTACAAGGAACAGTCTACTGGGCTGTACAAGGAACAGTCTTGCAGGACTGTACAAGGAACAGTCTACTGGACTGTACAAGGAACAGTTTACTGGACTGTACAAGGAACAGTCTACTGGGCTGTACAAGGAACAGTCTACTGGACTGTACAAGGAACAGTCTACTGGACTGTACAAGGAACAGTCTACTGGACTGTACAAGGAACAGTCTTGCAGGAATGTTCTGCAGTCTGTACACACAACCTACATGGACCTGTATTCCCTTCTTACTGGACTGTACAAGGAACAGTCTTGCAGGAATGTTCTGCAGTCTGTACACACAACCTACATTGACCTGTTGATGAACTACCCAGATGACACCTGTGTACATGCTTGTTAAGTTTGTTATGTGTCCAGGTAGACAAATCAGATTACCTGTGTGGCATAAGAAACCGACAGTCCCACAAGACCAGCTTTAAGATCTGTAGATACAACAGCAAACACAGCAGCCGAAAGAATAATGAGGTTACCAATAAACTCCAGGTACCAGCCTAGCCATCTGTAAATACATTAATGAATTTTTTTATTACTATCACTTCCATCTGTTGAGAATGTGAGAATTAGGAGTAAAGATTGGCACAACCAGGCATGAGGGGCACACTGTCATACAAGAAGTTAGTTAGTTAGTTAGTTGGGTTATCCTCATTGCACTCCGGACATGTCCATAGGTGCTCAGATCCTCCCCTCAGTATGAACCTCAACGTCCGATGGCTAATAGTACCAGTTCTATGTTGATTAACAAGTCTTCTGGCGTAGCTGGTGTGCGTCTCGTTTTTTGCTGTGCCGATCTTAATTCCCAAGTCTGCCATTCTGGCGAGTGATGTGGATTCACTGCCACCAAAGTCGTCTATCCTTCCCATTTCTCTGAGGACATTGATAATATCAGCATGATCCATAGGCTGACCGTCGGTAGTGATAGCGGATCCAGCCAACCTGTCAGCTCTTTCATTTCCATCGACGCCTGCGTGTCCCGGAACAAAAATAAAGGTGACTCCACGGACAGTGGACTTCTGTAATGATTCAAGCCATTGTCTTCGCACTGAACCTGCCTGAACCCTCCGGATCATACTCATTGAATCACTGAGTATACACACGCGGGTGTATTTTTGTGTTTCAAGCCAGGCAAGCGCTTGCGTCACTGCCATCACCTCCATCGTCATGCTGCTGGTTGTCATGGAGAAGGCGCCGTTGGCTTCTTTGACTGTTCTGCCCGCTGAGCGTGCTGTAAATGCCCATGCGCTTCTTCTTTGGCGTATAACGGAACCGTCTGTATAGATTATTGCATCTGCTTCATCTGAATTTTCACCGATGACCTCTGCATTAACAGCAACAGGATTCTCTTCTCTACATCGCCTGTTGAGTGTGACAATACAGGAAAATGTACAAATGAACGTCTGAGGCACAGGTATCCATTCTGCACCAGGTATGATGTCGGTTAGGCAGCAGATTTGCCTAATAACATCTTCTGCCCGACCTAGCCACGATTTCCCCCTCTTCAGTCTGTCGCCCTTTTTACTAAAAAGCGCTTGATGCAGTGATACAAGAAGGTAAGTAAATATATTGGTTTGGTAACATCATTCGAAAAAATCTGCCTTAAAATGTTAGTGGACAAATGTTTAATTCTGGCAAGATTCAACAGTGAATGCTGAATTATGATCCATGCTAAGGTTTCAACTGTTTGCCAGAAAGGGTTGGTTTTTGTTGCATTGTAAAAGAAGATATTTCCTAAAGCAACTGTATATTTTACTTTTCTTCTTCTTCTTCTTCGCCTTCTTCTTCCTCCATCTTCTTCACCTTCTTCTGATTCTTTTTCTTCTGCTTCATTCTCTTTTCATCATCCTTCACATTTGTCAGTCTTGTTGATGTGCTCCACATATCTTTTTGTACAGGACAGGACAAGAGGAGTTTTATGTGTGCCTGAGAATATCTATGATCATCAGTGTGTGTCTGTGGTCTAATGGTCTAGCACATGACAAAGATTACGTTGGTTGTGGACATATATCCTATATGAACATCTACTCCCTCTCCCTTTTTATCCTTGCCACCAAGTGCTTCTTCTTCACGTTTACCAGCATCGACTGTGGTGGAAAGTTCTGGTTATTCATCCACCTCTGAACATTAGTCGTGTTTCAGAACCTGCATGTTGCGTGCATATCCATTTTACGTATCTGACTTATTTGTATGCAGATTGTTGGTTCCTTGCCTCTCAGGCAGATGTACTCCAACTTCAAAGTAAGTCTCCAATCCGTCGACTCTTATGACATGCTTGTTGGGGAGGCAGTGGGTCTTTTTTTTCCCACAAGGGGGCCCCGGAACCCACATGAAGAGAATGGCACAAAGTGTTAAGGTTATTATTGTTTCTGTTATCAGTGCTTCTTCTTCTTTTTGTTGTTTGTCTCCTTCTTCTTCAGCATTCTGCAAGTTTCAGGTTCATTGCTGCAGATATCAGCCGTCGCCATTCATCTCTGTGACTGATCTTTTCTTTCCAGTTGGTGACTCCAAGTGTTTCTAGGTCTGCCTGTATATTACAAGAGAAGGCATTTCCTATGCCTCACGGTCTACTCCCATTCGACCCTTGTGTGTGCAGCTTTTGTCTCTCTGTTGTCTGCACTTCTCTCCACATGCCCCAGCCATTACAGTCGACCACCTCCTGTGATGGCAGTAACTAGTGGTCATTCCAACAGATTACAAATTTCATTGTTGCTTTTTCATTATTTGTTATCACTAATATTTGTAAATGCTCAATAACCCAACAGGCCCTAACAATCAGTAATGAAGCCAAGAAAGAATCCACTGTTGGAGAAATTGTCAACTTGATGTCTGTTGACTGTCAGAGGATACAAGATGCAACAGGTAGCATATTTCTTGTTTCATCACGGTTAATTCTTCATGTTTTTTTCCAGCTCTTTCCTTCCTTTTCTCCTGCTTTGTCATTATGTAAACCTTTTTTTCCTTTATTCTTCTATTCTTCTATTTTACTTCTTCTTCTTTTTCAGCATTCCGAGCCCTTGAGGTTCACTGCTGCAGATATCACTGCCTCCATTCATCTCTCTGGATGGCCTTCTCCATCGTCTTCTTGGTCTCCCTCGTGGTATACGACCATTCATCTCTCTGGTGTATACAGTTTTTACTTCTCTGTCATCTGACATTCTTTCAATATGCCCCAACCATTTCAGTCTATTAGCTCTCATGATGCCAGTAATCAATGGTGATTTACTTCTTTTTTTTTATTATTCTATGCCTGCTTCTTTATGAACCAGCAGCTCCCTTGTTAATCTCATAATTCAGACAGCTCCTTTTCTTTTTTATCATTTACATAATATTAACATACACACACATTCCTTGCCAGTATTATCAGTAAGTTAGTAAGTCGATAGATTACCCTCATTGCACATCGAACCATTCTGTCCATAAGTGCTTGGATCCCCTGTTCAGTATATCCCACAGCCTGAAGCGGCTGATGACTGCTTTGGTTTCTTATTCTTCTTTGGCTTCCTCCACAGTACTCTTGTGTGTCATGCTTCTTTTAACTCTACCAGACGGATGTCCCGCTACTGTGGTAGTTTTCTAACTTGTGACTTATACCGTTGTCCTGATTTTTCAGGAATTTGAGTACTGCCTGATAGAATGCGCCACAAACTAAAAATAACCAACCAATCATGATCAAATCATGTGGTTAGTCGCTGCGAATAGCTGCCCACGTGTGTTTGGAATTAGTTTGGGTGGCTTAACATGAAAAAATTCTGAAAATTCACAATAAAATGAGTGGCTGATAAACTAAGCAATTCGACAGGAAAATGAAGTAGGTCTAGGCTTTTCACAGTTCAAAAGGTGAACGATACTTTGGTTGATTCAGACTCTGAGCAGTTACAATTTCATGAAGAATACATTTTTCAGTTAAAGTGACAGTCAGTGAGAGCTCGAACGATGAGGAGAATCTTGAAAATTATAATCTAGAAATAGATCAATAGTAGGAGAAGTGGGCGTGTCCCTCTAACAGCAACATCTGGTGTTCACTTTGTGAAACAAGGTTGATCCTGCTGGGTGGATTAGCACACAAAGGTGGAATATTGGCACTAGATGAAAGGTAAACCTATTTTCTACAATGTCTCCAAGTTTCATCTTATTCTAGCCCCTTGTTTGCATGTAACTAATATTTGTGTATATCATGTTGGTTTTTCAGCATTAATTCCCAGAAGCTAAGTTATAGGGGGCAGTTAGGTTCAGGGCCTCAGGTCTGGTAGGGTTAACTTGTTGTTCTTACAGTCTGGTCAAGGTTGCAGATTCACAGTCACTTGGCTTTCTGAAATGTCTTACTTTTCTTAGAACATTGAGTATATCAGCCTGGTACGTGGCCCATCCACCCTTCACAGTATTATCTACAGACAAATTAACCAAATTTGTAAAAGGAATATATACTTGCAACATCAAATTTTCGACCAAGATCAGAGTCTAGAAGTGGATAAACAACCAGGACTTTTCTCGAAAGTTTACAGCTGTGAGTATAAAGAAGAAGACCAAACTACAAATTTGTCTTGTGTTGAGTTGAGTTGAGTCAAGAATTCACATCACAGCACTCTGGGCATTCCCATGCGTGTTCCGTTCTCATCTTCAGCAGCCGGTACAGAGTTCCAATACTGATGGTACCTTCACACTCTGGTTATATGTCCGTCTTGCCTTTCCTCTGAGTGTAATGAGCCGGCCAGACTCTCTGGTTACACGCAGGTATATATCTTGTGTTCACATCTCATATGTCTAATTTGTTGATTTAAATGATTTATGAGTAAAGATACTTTGAGCTTTTAACTATGCTTTTGGTCTTGACAATAGTCTCCTGAGTATATACTTATCATCATCATCGACCCTTAACTCTGTGGGTGGTTGGGTCACTAGCTGCTGTGGTCTGTGATCAGCTCTCTTCATTTTTGACAGTCACATGCAATATACCTCAGAGTTGCATGCCTAAAACCTTTCCAGTCTGTAACCACGACTTTCTTGGTCTCTCTTCTCCTCTTCTCCTCTACTAGCCTTGGAGTATTGTTTTTGAGAGGCCTTACAGTTTATTGGTGAATATTGTTAACATGAGTGTGTTTTTTAATAATGATATTTTTGTTTTGCAACATCAACACAATGTTCTGTTTAAAAGGGTACATATACATGATCTGGTCTATGCCACTGATGATAGTTCTTGCACTGTACATGTTGTGGGGCACACTGGGTCCTTCCTCCATGGCTGGCCTGGGTGTCCTGGTTCTGCTGATGCCCATCAATGCCTGGGCAGCCTACAAGCAAAGAGCTTACCAGATGCAGCAGATGAAGACTAAAGATGAAAGAATCAAGATCATGAATGAAGTGCTGAATGGTATCAAGGTAATATTATGGACTGTGTGTTGACATATCGTTGATATAGTATTTATGCAGACAGTATTTTTTTTAAGAATAGGTATATATAAGGAATCATAGTTGAGTGGAAAGTAAACTTTATAAACCACTAAATCATCATCAATTTCTACATTTGCCATTAAACCTCGTGAGAAGGAACAGTTTGTGATCTGTTGCTTGATGGATAGGAATGGCTATTGTTTTTCCACTCGATGTAGAAGATCTTTAATGTCACAAATCCATATTCTTCTAGGGCGACCTCTTGCATCATAACAGATCTGTTCATGTGTAGTGCCTATGTTAGTAGCTGTTCTAGCTGCATTCTAACGAGATGATCAAACCATTTGATCTTCTATTTCTTAATGAATCAGGCACATGGGGTTGTTTCCAGTCTGCTCTTTATCTGTTACACTTTGACCTCTAGTCCTCTTCATCTTCTTCATTTTTTTTTAAAAATTCATTTGCGCCTGTGGGTTCCAGTGCAGTGACATTCTAGTTATATTGTTATCAGGTTTTTCTCTGTGTGTCCCAGCCAACATAAGTTTTCAACAAGATAAAAATATAATATTTGTTATATGTTTTCTTAACATATGATATTTTTTGCTGCCACTAACATTACAGGTGTTGAAGCTGTATGCTTGGGAGGAGTCATTCCAAAGCAAAATCACAGACATCCGCAACCAAGAGCTGATCACTCTCAAGAAAACAGCCTACCTGGTAGCAGTCACAATGTTTGTATGGACATGTGCACCTTATGTGGTATGTTTCCATCTCTACTGTTTATTTGCTTCAATTTTTATTGATGTCCAGATCTGTGCAATTTCTGACAAATCTTCTTCTTTTTCTTCTTCTTCACATTCACCGGCTGTAAACTCCGGTGGAAGGTTCTGATTGTTCATTTACTTGTGGACTTTAGTCTTGTTCCAGAAATTGAGTATTGCATGCACATCCGTTTTATAGATCTAAACTCATTTGCATGCAGGCTGTTGGTTCTTTTCCTCTCAGGCAGATATACTCTGACTTTGAAGGATTCTACCAATTAGTTGACTCTTACGACATGCTTTTGGGTGTGCGGTGGTTTTATTCTTGATTTCCCCACAATGACAAATGTTCCCAAGAAAAATGCTTTTAAGATTGTAACATTTAAAAAGCTTGTTGAAGAAAGTGTAAAATTCTGCACTATTTGCATGCTGCCAAAAAAAAAACCTTGATCCCAACTTGCTTTGATTATATGTGATGCGTTATCTAGGATGGGAGGGAAATGTTGAACATAAAATGGGATGAACTGAAGGAGAGCTATGAAATTAGAGAAATGTCTTGGCAATCACCAGTATCAACAGTTCAAGACAGAGAAGATAGTGCTATACTGGACACATTCTGAGAACAGATGAACAGAGAATCACCAAACAGTCACTGAAATGGGAAATGGATTGAAAAAAAAAATGAGGACATCCAAGAGAAACCCTAAGGTAAATGTTGATGAAAGAGGCCAAAGGTGCTGGACCGGAGTCCGGCTATGATATGAAAGTCATTGCACAGGATGGAACAGAAGGGACAAATATATACGAGCTGTACATGACTTATAATGGCAGAACAGGACAATGATTGAGTTGTTTAACTTTGACTATGTTAACACTCTATAGTAAAACCATAGTTCTATCACTTAGGGAATGTTCCTGCTTGTTTTCACATCCACACTGATCTGCCTGCAGCTGATAGCCCCTTAAATGCTTTCCCAGATCGAACTGCCTGGAGAAAGGATTGTATGGTGCCAATACACATCAAGGCAGAAGTGAAAGGAGTATTCGACAAGGAAGAACAAAACAGTGTGCAGCGTAAAACAGCCACCCTCACTCTACTTGATGATGAATACCCACAGGATCTTTGAGTTTCGTTCTACATGGATGGGTCAGCACAAAACACAAGCAGAAATGAAGGAGCAGGAGTGTACAATGAGCATCCAAATAATACCAGATATACAGTAAAAATACCAACAGGAAAGCACTGCCACAACTATGATGCAGAAGTTCAAGCCATCAAAATAGCGTAGCAGAGAAACTGTTAAATATGTGTCATATTTCACAACCCATGGTATTCCTGACTGATGCAAGAGAACTACTTCAGACACTCGAATCTGGAAAATTACCTGGTATCTGAAAATACTCTCTGAACTGGACAACTGGTGTAGGGTTGCTGTACAATGGATACCATCAAGAACAACCTGATGTACCAGTATCTTATCAACAGAAGAAGAGAATAGTCAAATCAATCAGAAAGCCTCCAAAACCGACAAAAGATGATTACCATATAATGGACAGACCAGAGCAAGTCATTATTCTATGCCTAAGAACAAGACACAATCGACTTTTGCAGCTACATGTACAGAAAATTTAGGATTAACAAATTAGCCATGTGTGCATGTGGGATCAGTAGCAACAGATCAAGGTCTGGTTCAGAGGGCAGAAGGCCTCCTCACACAACTGGTAAATTCTTTGCTGAAACTCCTGGCTCATCAAAACACAGTGCTGAATGATACTAAACTGTCTACAATTTTATCCCCTAATAGTCACCGTTCGTGGGTATTTCACTAAAGATGGGTCCGTGTTAAATTAAACAAACATCAGTTCCTTGGATTTCATCCACTGATTGTGGTAGTTGTAAGGATGATGACCACATACAAAAACTAGAGCGTTGTAGATACCAGGTGGTGGTAAACCTCACAGAATCACAGGTAGAATGCTACTGGTACCATCAGTATAGGAACTCTTCTGAATATGGGGATGGAGCACTTATGGGAATGCCCCAAGTGCTGTGATGTCAGTTCCTGAATCAAATCAAATCAAATCAAACAGAATCACAGGCAGTTGTTGACTACAAAGTCACTGACATGATGTGTTACAGGAATCGGTGGTACCCACATGTCCCTCCTCTTGTTTACTGGATGTAGGTTACACTGGATATTGTTAGGGTCATGACTGTTGACCTGGCCTCCTGGGAAGATATAATCCCATGCTCAAGGATCTTCTAGTATGAATTGGTGATTCACTAGAGACAGACAGATATACAGCAAAGAGGCAGTAAACGGTGTGTCTTCTCGGGAAGCTTAGTCAAGAATAATTCAAACTAAGCATCTCTCCCGATAGAGGCAGGAGGGGATGATCCGTGTCCAAAGCGGTAGTTAGGCCATTGGAATTTTGGCTTCACTATCAATGAATCTCCCACCTAAGGTTCTTTATTCAAAATTATAACTTTCCTAAGATAATTAGGATAGAGTACTTAACCCGATATGTAGACACATGAAGGACTAATTGCCTTTAAAGGAAAGTCCATTTTTAAATCCATCACATCTGCATAGAGGTGACAAGATTCAGACCAGTCTAAGACGTTAGGGGTGTGGGCTGTCCCGTGACCATGAGAAACACCAGTGCAAGCCAAACTTTAGGGGTCGCTGATTGAATTTAAACAGACAGTGAAGTTCATACTAGAGATAGAATCACAGATATAGATAATCTATTTCAAGCGAATGAAAGAAGAAGAGCATCCACATTACATACTTTCATATGTCAACTTTGGTTTCATGAAACATGTTTCAGTATGCTGTATCACATTGTATTGGTTCAAACAGGTTCAGCTGGTCTCGTTTGGTACGTACATTGCTGCATCAGACATTGGATATCTGGACCCAGCCACAGCTTTTGTCTCATTCACACTGTTTTCCATTCTCAACCAGCCAATGACATTTTTACCCATGGCCATTCCATTCCTTATCCAGGTATGCTAGTAAATGTATTACCTTTTGCTTTTCATCTTCTACTCTTCCTTCTTTTCTTCTTCTTTTTTGCCTTTCTTCTTCTTCATGTGTCCTTTTTCCTCCACCACATCTCCTTCTCTATCCTTCTTTTAGTCTTTATATTTGTCTCCTTTATATTCTTTATATTTTAACCCCCCCCCCCCCCCCCCCCCCCCCCCCCCCCCCCCCCCCCCCCAACCCACCCCTCCCCGTCCTGTCCCTTTTTCTGCTTTTTTTCTTTTCTTCTGCTTTTCCTTCTTTCTCACACACCTCTTCTTTTCCGTCTGCTTCTTCTCTGCCTGCTTATCCTCCTTTTCAATCTACTTTCTTGTTTATCTTTATATTTGTTTTTCTTTTCTACTCTTCCACTTCAAGCTAACTGGTCTACAAAAATATGATTCTAGCACTCCTTTGTGGGTCAAATGACCATATCCAAGGGTCCCCTAAGACCATCGAAAAACATATATTCACTGAAATTATGAAGTAGTAACAAAAATATTTTATGGTTGAGGTCACCAAAAAATATAGGAACTGTATTTAAAGGTCATTGCATTAGGAAGATTGAGAACCGCTGTTCTAGCATCATATGTCGAACACATCATATGTCCCGTGTGGGTTCTGGGACCCTATTATAGGGAAAACAAGAACAGACCCACTGCCTACCCAAAAGCATGTCGAAAGAGTCGACTAATTGGGAGCTTCCTTCGAAGTCAGAGTACATCTGCCTGTGAGGCAAGGAACCAGCAGTCTGCATACAAATGAGTCAGGTCTGTAAAACAGATGCACTCGTAACACTCAGGTTCTAGATTAGGACTGCAGTCCAGAAGTGGATGAACAACCAGAACTTTCCACCAGAGTTTACAGCTAGTGAACACGAAGAAGAAAAAAGTACAGGCATAAAATGGGTCATTTACTGACTTACTCACTGACTAACACTGATTGACTTACTGACTGACTGGCTCACATGCTGACTGACTGGCTAAAACTGACTGACTTACTGACTAACTCACTGACTGACTGACTCACTAACTTACTGACTTATTGACTGACTAGCTGACTCACTTACTTACTGACTGACTGACTAAGTTACTGACTGACTGACTTACTCCTCTAAACAACTACCACCAGTATGAGGATGGAATTGGAAGCTAATTACGGCCATGTTTTGGTACTTATCTGAGACTCCTGCACTGCTCAGGCAGTCTAGAAAGACCTGTATAACAGGCCACTTACCCACAATTTTTCCTGCCCTTATTGTCCTAGATCCTTCCGAGCCTGTGTTGGGCTTATAAGTCACCTCCGGACTCGCACAACTCAATTATAGTTTCATGACAAATGAAAGAGGGGTCCTCATTAACTGGGAAGGATAAACAACATCTGAGACTAGACACCAGTTGTAGGGTAAAGAAAGAAGATAGTCAGCTGCTGCTGGGTATGTTGAGAATGGAGACACTGGGATGGCTGCTGTATTGGAGGACGAAGCATGTATGGGTCGGACCAATGTGCTAGGATATTGATGCTCAGAACAATTACGACTTCATACACAGGTATTACCTTGGGTCGGACGATTGGTCAGTGCTTCAGAAGGTCACTTACACTTGGTTCGTTATCAAGACATACTCCTTCAGAAGGGTTCGTTAGGTCTGCTGCAAAAAGGGCAAGGTATAAAACAAGTCTAGAAGGCTGTTGTTATCAAGGACATCCATTGTGGTGGTAGTCAGATTATAGCAAGCAGTATGTTACATGAATAGAATTAGATGACGGATCAACATCATAGCACAAGGGTAGTAACCATAAGCCTGAGTCAGAAGAATCTCAGCGCAGTGCATGAACTCCATAGCATCGATGAGGATCCTGAAATACTTTGGGTAGATATTAAAATCAAAATTTTGCTCAGGCAGCACCATTAGGCTCCTCATTTTTTATATCCAGCTGCCAAGGCATTTTTTTAACGTGTGCAACAATACACACGGGCGTCCAATCTTACTCCCCAAGGACCAGGGGAAATTACTAGACGTTCCCCCCCCTCCCCCCACCATCCCAATCATCCCAATCATGTTGTTTGTCAAGGCTCCTTGCGATGGAGTGAACAGTGCAGCGGCACACTTACATTATCATGATTTGAAAAGAATGGCACAATAGGGAGTGACTAGGGGATCTGACTAACACTCCACACAAAAGACAAGGCACACTTACAGTCAGAATGTTATTGGTACCATCGCAGTTGGAACGAAGCGCTTATGGGAATGTCTCGAGTGCTAGGATGTCGGCTCTTAAAACTCAACTCAACTTAATTGACTTTAAGTATTTTCAGTACTAGACCTACACTACTCATACTGAAACTAAACCAGCACAACTTCACTAATGATATCCCTACATACCACCGTCGCAGTCCATCCATCAACATCTCCCTCTTCCGCCATTGATGTCCCCAGTTGTAACAATATTCTCCAAAGCCCCCCCCCCCCCCCCCCCCCCCCCCCCCCCCCCACCCCCCATCACATGAGGAAAGTACAGTGCTTGCCTTTTCCTTATAGCTGTATATATTGATCTGCTTTAATTAGCTTCCTTCAAGCAATCCTGTTAGTTACTCCACATAAGTTTAACATTAATTAATTGCTTTTCATGAAACACACTCACAATGTATTGAAAGTATATTCCGTTGTTTCTTGTTTTGACAGGCAGGGGTTTCGATTGGTAGAGTGTCCAAGTTTCTTCATAGCCAAGATCTGGACCCCACCGTTGTATACCATGATGCCAAACTGTGGTAATTGTTGTGCTACCTAAACAATTGTACTTGTCAGTGAGATAACAGATACGTTTCACATCTGATGGCTGTCTTTATGAAGATGAGGAAGCAGTAATAAAGTTGCTTAGAGGGATGGGGATACAAAGAGAGAGAGAGAGAGAGAGAGAGAGAGAGAGAGAGAGAGAGAGAGAGAGAGAGAGAGAGAGAGAGGGAGAGAGGGAGAGAGAGAGGGAGAGAGAGAGAGAGAGAGAGAGAGAGAGAGAGAGAGAGAGAGAGAGAGAGAGAGAGAGAGAGAGAGAGAGAGAGAGAAAGAGAGATCCAGAATAAAAGCATTTGTGCAAGAACTAAAAGATGTCTTAGGAAAAAAGGGGCTGCTATGATACTTCTTCTTCTTCTTCTTCGCGTTCACCAGCTGTAAACTCTGGCGGAAGGTTCTGGTTGCTCGTCCACTACTGAACTGCAGTCCTGCTTCAGAACCTGAGTGTTGCGTGTGCATCAGTTTTACAGATCTCATTCTCTTGAATACAGACTGTTGGTTCCTTGCCTCTCCGGCAGATGCACTCCGACTTCAAAGGAAGCTCCCCAATTAGTCGACTCTTACGACATGCTTTTGGGGAGGCAGTGGGTCTATTCTTGTTTTCCCCACAATGGGGCCCCGGAACCCACACGGGGGGCTATGATACTGACCAGGTAGGTTGTCACGAAGTGCTCTCTTTAAACGTGGGGTGAGAGCTTTCACCATTTACACAGTACACCTCAAGGTTTAAACAAATGTAACCTTTTACTAACTAGCTATTGTCAGTACTACCATGCCCATGCTAGCTAGGTAATGAATGGTGGGTGACTTTTGGCCTTTCCCTCATCTCTTAGCCAGGATTGTTCTGATAGAGACTGCAGACCCAGTCTATAAAGACTGGAAGAACATAAAATATATGTCAGCTTTACAGGACTATTTACAATAAACAAACAAAGGGAGTTGAGGCAATTAGCATACATCAGCAGAACTACAGTGAAACAAGCAGCAAACAATACAACAACAAAATGAACTGACTGAGATAATACATTCATCTCATCTCATCTTGATCCTCTTGTATCTTGCAGTGTTGAGGGGAAGTATAATTTACAGGAAAGTTTCTGCTGGTGTCCTTCCTAAACTGAGATTTCCAGGGACTCTGTTATTCCCTCTACCCATTGTTTGCATGGTCAGCCTCTGCTTCACTTCCTGCCTGGTCTGTACATCATTGCTTGTGGTTGGTATCCACATTATATGACCAAACCATTTCATTTGTTATTTTCTGATAAAGTTCAGAACTTCTGCTCCTCCATTTTCCTTTGGATTTCATTGTTTCTGATCTTGTCTCTTTTTCTTATACAAGGAGCCCTTCACAGGAATCTCATTTCATTGTTTCTGATCTTGTCTCTTTTTCTTATACAAGGAGCCCTTCACAGGAATCTCATTTCATTGTTTCTGATCTTGTCTCTTTTTTCTTATACAAGAAGCCCTTCACAGGAATCTCATTTCATTGTTTCTGGTCTTGTCACTTTCACTTATACAAGGAGCCCTTCACAGAAATCTCATTTCATTGTTTCTGATCTTGTCTCTTTTTCTTATACAAGGAGCAATTCACAGGAATCTCATTTCATTGTTTCTGGTCTTGTCTCTTTTTCTTATACAAGGAGCAATTCACAAGAATCTCATTTCATTGTTTCTGGTCTTGTATCTTTTTCTTATGCAAGGAGCAATTCACAGGAATCTCATTTCATTTGTAATTTTTCTGTTCTCTTTTTCTGTCATTGTGCAGGTCAGGATTTGGTAACAGATGGTTGGAAAGAGCCATGGTGCTCTTTTGATTTCTACTGACATATGTTTGTTTCTCAGTACTGGTGCCATTTACCCAATGAGTTGGTTTTCTCTGTTACATCTGTCATTGATCTCATCTTCTGACTGGTCAGCTGATGATATTGTGCTTCCTAACTACATTACCTTGTTCAAATATGTAAACAAATTTAACAAAACAAATATCAAATGACAGAATTAGGAAAAGAATGTGTGTTACCAAGACCACTCTAAATTTTGTAAAATAAATAAATGAAAAACTATGCCTCTTGTAGACAGGCAAACTGGAAGATGGTTAGTCAAACTAAATCTGAGGGAGGAAATTGTGCGAAAGAGGGGCACACAGTCATGGGCTGAGTGAAGAGATACGATGATTTACTATACAAAGTTATAGAGGTAGAGGTCAGTCCCTGGATCATCAGTTGGACTGAGGCAGTCCTGTATGAATGGCAGACTGTCTTTCACCCAGGCTCATGGAGTTCTGAACCATGCAGTATCATACTTGGTCTCCCACAAGGTTCCGCCATTTCCCTAATTCTTTTCAAAGTATAGACAAACAGGATAGAGACAATGGGTGTACAGAGAATTTTGACTTTTGCTGATGATGTCTTAGTCTACACAGCGGGAATAAAAATCTAGAGAACTGCAGTTCACTATAGATAAAGTCAGTGAGGGGTATGAGGAAACAGGCTTGCCATCAACCCAGATAAAGCGGCAGTATTGTGTTGTTTTTTAAATAACATAATTGTTAGAGATATGTTGCTGGACATCACAATAAATGGCAGTAACATAAAAAAGAGACAATTCACTAAAATTTCTAGGAATTACTTTGACTTCCAAATGCCACGTGGAAAAGGTAATTTTAAAGAAAGGGAAAGGACTGAATGTTTTCAAGGTCATGGCGTCAGCAGACATGGAACACAAAACTCTCTATACACTCTACCAGAGGCAAAGCAGAAAGATATAGGAATAGAAACGAATGTGAAGATATGTGCTTTTGATATTTGCTTCAGACCAGGCACTTGAGAAAGGCATTTGTATATTGTTTAATTATCATCATCATTTCTAAATATTACTAGTGAAAAAAGTTCCATTGTAAAAGGTTACATGGTGACAAACTCATATTTATGTTTCAGGCTATTTTTTAACATCCTAATGAATATTTCAAGCTATTTGAAAATGAAGTACTTTGTTTTCAAAGATCTTAAATGTCTTATCTTTCTATAAAATTACAGAAATGGCCGTGAAGATTGAGAATGGTACATTTACCTGGGACAAGGCATTGCTGCTTCCAACTCTCAGAAAGTCAGTTTGGCTTGCTGTTTTCTTACTTAATCTTTCAACCATTGTTATATTTGTAGATGCCATTTGGCTCTAGCTCTTATGCATTGCAAATGCACTTTGTAATTCTATTGTGCCAAGTTTAATCATTTAATCACAGCTGCAGACAATTTGGCAGCAGCTTGCCTTGCATTGGTTTCAACAGTGAAATAGAGAGCTGACTGTTCATCAAGTACTGGCAAACTGCTGAGCATAAAATTATCTAGTGAAATCACAAACAGCTAAACACTGCTTGGGTTGGTTCTACAATGTCCTGTAAAGTATATACAGCTAACAGGAAGTCAGGAAGTCAGCATAAAAACTCTCTTCCCTTTGATTTCCGCTGAGAGAGACTGAGAATTTATTATCATGATCATCAGTTCCCATGGGAAGGATCAATTTGTGATCCATTGCTTGATGGGCAGCACTGGCTGTTATCATTTCCGTGTCACTGTAGAAGCTCTTTAAAGTCATCAATAGATCTTCTTCTGGCACATCTTCTTGCTTTCACCTCAGATCTTTTTAGATGTAATGCTTATCTAGGTAGTTGTTGTGGCTGAATCTAATAAGATGACCAAGTCATTTGATTTTCTGCTTCTCATTAAGCTAGGTGAAATAGGTTGTTTCCATTGTATGTCTGAGAGTATCATTTCTCATTCAGTCTTGAACAGTTAAGCTGGCATCTTTTCCATAACATCCTGTCTCACTCACAAGTGTTACACCACTTTGATAATGTCCAAGTTGTGCACTGGAAGCACAATGTTGGTTTGAATATGCTGTTTATTATTGCTGTTTATTAGGTATTATCAGATGGTCATACTTATATGTAAATGTCTTACCAATGTCATCAGTTGGTAGAAAAGTGTGCTGGTCTTTTGGCATCTTGTTTCTAATTTCCTTTCTATTCTGCCTTCCTGCATAAATACACTTCCTAAATTGTTGAATTCTTTAACTTGCTTTAGATCTTTATGTAGGGACCAGGAATATTATAAATGTTTAATGTGGGAAAGTTGCTATATTATTTTAACTACTACTTCGTCTTTCTACTTCTGTTCTCTACTCCTGGAATTCCTCGCAACATCAGGGCAGAAAGAGATCTCTGGAATGGACCCTTCTGTTTGCTTCATGTATAGTACTATCCCATTCATTCTAGTTGGTTTGTGAGATCTTTCCATTTTTCTACAAGTACTAAATAAACCACTGTCTGTTTACTGGAACAATCACAATGTTTTCAAACTTTCTACAAAGGTCACATTTGAACCAGACTACCATATTCAGTCTAGTATATTCTACTCTAGGATTTCTGAATTTGATTCTGGTTAGATGTTAGCCGAATAAATAAACATCCACTTGCCACACTATCTTGACCAGTTCTACTTCAGACTCAAAAATGTTTCCTTAAAATTATATTTTAGAAAAAAAAATGTTTACGTTAAAATATTTTAATGCAAACAATGGTAAAAGAATAGAAAGGAGTGGGGAATGGGAGAGGGTAGACTCATTGTTCTATTTTTATGTGATTATCCTCAGTATAAATGTATCAATACCTCCGGGCTCATTGACTGCAGTTGTGGGCACAGTGGGAGCTGGCAAGTCATCCCTTTTGTCGGCCATGTTGGGGGAGATGGAGAAGCTGGAAGGCAGGGTAACTCTCAAGGTTTGTTAACACCAGGGTCATTTTATATACAACTACTTGCCACATGATGTTGGTCTGTGAAGTCTATCACATGATTTGGCCTGTTCAAGTTTATTACATCATGTTGATTTCTGTGAATTACTTTTTAATGACCAATTATGGATATTTATTGTTTATTAGTGAAGGTTTAGTCAGCTCTGTGGCTAACCCTTCGTAATGCCTAGATGCCGGGTTCTATCCCAGCTGCGTGCCATGCGCCTTGCGCTGGTTTCGACAGAGGTTTCGAGAAAGCCAACCATCCAGAAAGCAATGGCAAACTACTGGATGTAAATTAGCCTAGAAAAACCACACAACAGCCAGGGGCTGTTGAGGTTGGTTCTGCAACGTCCTGTAAAGTATATGCAACTAACCAACCAGTGAAGGTTTAGTTATTGTATATGTTTGTGTTCTTTATATTCGTACTGATATTACTTTAAATTCTAAATTCTGTGTTAAAACATTTTTCAGAACTAGCTAAGAAATTTAAAATGTTATTATTTATTGTGCACTAAATGGGAATGAAAATAGTTGAATCTCTTTCTTGTAAAGCTTTATTGTTTGTGTTCAGATGATTATATTGTCAGGAACAGCAAAGCCAGTTAGTTTTTGTGGAATCATATGGTTTTTAAATTATTTTTTTTTTTCAATTGAAACACAGAATACAATTGCCTATGTTCCACAAGAAGCTTGGATCCAAAATGCAACTCTGAGAGACAACATTACATTTGGAAAAGCTTTCTCCAACAGCCAGTACAGCAGAGTTATCCAAGCTTGTGCTCTTCAGCCCGACATTGAGATTCTGCCAGCCCAAGATGTCACTGAAATCGGGGAAAAGGTCAACAGATTATTAAGTGCATTCATACACATGCTTTTTTGTGTTCTGTTAAGTTGATTCAAGAACTGACCTCACAGCACTTGGAGCATTCCCATAAGTGCTCCATCCCTGACTTCAGCAGCCAGCACAGAGTCCCAATACCAATGGTGCCAGTAGTAATCTGAGTATATGTCTGCCTTGCTTTTCCCCTGAGCATCAAGTAAAGACCAGATCCCCTGCATCACTCTCACCAGACTGTGATGATCCATTTGCTCCTTTGAACTGCACACAACCATTCTATAAGGCCTTATTCACATCTGCCTTATCATGCATGAAGTTGTACAGAGCCAGAGTTTGTCTGCCTGTTAATTTCCCAACACACCAGCATACCCTGGAGAAAAGATCCAGACAATGATCTCTCTCACCTGTGATTTCCGAGTTCTGTTGACTACTTGAGTGTAGAGGAAATCAGACTAAGTGATCCTTTGAGTTTTGAGTTGGGTTATCTTCAAACAACACCAGACACATCTATAGGTGCTCAGATTCTCCCTTCAACATATACATCATGAGTGATTTTATAAAACTGGCTGATGAACAGCAACATTGTTCAGAAAATGAAATACTTTGGCCATATTAAACATCACATGTGTGAAGAGAGAACATTTATGAGAAGTACAGTTTCTATGGTAAGTAGGGTTTTACCAACACAATGAAACTGATCAGCCCATGACTTTTCTTCCAGGAACCATTCCTTCCTTTACTCTTCTTTCTAAACAACGTTCTTGACTGATCACTGATTTAAGAATCAGCATCATAGCACACTAGGCATACCCATAGGTGCTCCTTCTCTTACAACAAATTTCTAAAGGTGTAAATCAGTGGGTTCTCAGATGGCCTCTTGCTTGAGTGTATAGCAAGTATTGCTGCTTGTCCCCCCCCCCCCCCCAAACCCCTCAACATAACAAAGTGTGTTTAAAAAAGAGGAGGATAATGTTCTTATTCTATAATTCTATAATTGGATGCACTGTTATCATGTTAATTAGATTTTTTAATGGTGGATATCTTTCTTTCTTCTGCCTTTCTATCCCCAATGGTGGATATACTAAACAAGGATGATTTGGTTTTCATAAGCAGTTTGTAATGGTAGATATACGAAATGCTTATGAAAACCAAATCACCTTTCTTTTTCTCCAAATTGTTTAAAATATATTTTATAAATGATTAAACTGGGAAAAATGTTAGTATAACAGATGATTACAAGTATGGGGAAAATGTTAGTATAACTGATTATTACAAGTACAGGGGAAAATGTTAGTATAACTGATTATTACAAGTAAGGGGAAAATGTTAGTATAACTGATTATTACAAGTACAGGGGAAAATGTTAGTATAATAGATTATTACAAGTATGGGGAAAATATTAGTAAAACAGAATATTACAAGTACCGGGTAAATGTTAGTATAACAGATCATTACAAGTATGGGGAAAATGTTAGTATAACAGATTATTACAAGTACAGGGAAAATGTTAGTATAACGGATTATTACAAGTATAGGGAAAATGTTAGTATAACAGATTATTAGAAGTACAAGGAAAATATTAGTATAACAGATTATTACAAGTACAGTGAAAATGTTAGTATAACAGATTATTACAAGTACAGGGAAAATGTTAGTATAACAGATTATTACAAGTACAGGGAAAATGTTAGTATAATAGATTATTACAAGTACAGGGAAAATGTTAGTATAACAGATTATTACAAGTACAGGGACAATTTTAGTATAACAGAATATTACAAGTACAGGGAAAATTTTAGTATAACAGATTATTACAAGTACACATGTACACATTTTTAAAATTGCTAGACGCCCACTTGGAACTTCCTCACGCCCCCCTCCCCCATTCTGGAGAGCACTGGTGTAGATGAAGGTGTTCAGTATGGTTGAAGTATCAAAATTTACTTTACAAGCCAGTTTTTTCCTTTGATATTGATGTCTTGTAGAATGTCAATATTTTCATCTAGTTGATTCATGGTGTCCTAAGAATATTCTGTGACCTTTTTGTGTGTGCAAAAGTGTTAGATTTCTTTTTAAGTGACTTAGAGAGGGTCCTTGACTCACCTCTTTATTTTCTCACACGTATCAGGGCCGCGTAAGTGTAGTCGATAAGAGGCTCACTTTCAAATCCAGCTGCGATTTGCTGCAGCCACCGTCGGTTATCAAAACCGGATGGCTCCCTGGGTTCACCTAGCCTCTAGGAAATGGGTACCAGAGTGATAATCTCGGGTAAATGAAGGAATGTCACTGTAGCTACAGAGTTATGTGCGAACGGCAACACAGGCGGACAATTCCTATCAGTTGTCCATACTGGTGGCAGAGCACTTATGGTTTATAACCGTGTGCAATGACGCTGGTTCACATCACCCGACTTTACCTTTTCTCACACATATATGACTACAATGCTATTTAATAAATCACAAAGCTGAAGTTGCCAATGGTGATGTTTTTTTTCTTTTTCTATTGTATCAAACAGGGTATTAACCTCTCAGGAGGTCAGAAGCAGCGTGTGTCTTTAGCTCGAGCTGTTTATAGTGGAGCTGACACATATTTTCTGGATGACCCTCTGAGTGCTGTTGATTCACATGTTGGCAAGCACATCTTCACTGAAGTTTTGGGTAGTAAGGGGCTCCTCAAGAATAAGGTTAGTTTATAAGTTAATTAGTTAGTAGTCAACAGATTATATTTGTTGCACATCAAACCATTATGCTCATGGGTGCTTGGATCCTCTCCTCAGTCTATCCCGCAATATGCAGTGACTGACGACACCAGTTCTCTGTTGGTTTGTTATTCTTCTGTAGCTTCTTGCATAGGGATTTTGCTTGCCTCACCCCTTTAACCTGCTGTTCTTGCAGTCTGGTCATGGTTGCAGATTCACAGTCATCATTTGGTAAGGTGAGTTTTATTACTAGTCCCTACATGTTCATCTTATTGTGTCTTAAAACCTAATGTGTGCCTTACAAAATCTGTGACTGAAGAAAATATTTATGAATGAGATCAAAGGCAGATAATTAAAATACTTTTATGGATTTCTTTTTCTTCTTCTTCTTTGCATTCACCAGCTGTATGCTCCACTGGAAAGTTTTGGTTGTTTATCCACTTCTGAACTTAAGACTTGTTCCAGAACTTGAATTTTGAATGCAGATCATTATACAGATCTGGCATATTTGTAAGCAGACTGTTGGTTTCTTGCCTCTCTGACTTAGAAGGAAACCCCTAATTGTTAAGGAGGCAGGGAGGCCATTCGTGTTCCTCTCCCCCCACACTGGGGTCCTGGAACCCACTCTGGTAATTTTTTGGATTTAATGATGTATATTTTCTTACTTGTCATCATCAGGTGCCTTGCCGACTGACATAGGCAATCATGCCTCTCCATAATCTGCGATCTCCTGCAGCATGTATCAGTTCGTGGGCCGACACACCTTCA